CGAGGGGCGCGCCGGAGCCCTCTGTCTATTGGGTCCAGAGCAGGCAGGGCAAGTTCATGGAGGCTTCAGGGTTGCTGGTCTAGGAAGGCAATGACTGGGATGCAGTGACTTTTTTATTTTGAGAGACAGAGAGCACTGATTTGTTTTTTCGCTTATTGGTGCACTGTTGACTGAGTCTTACATGTGCTCTGACCGGCGGTCGAACCTGCAGTGTTGGAGTCTCAGGATGATGCTCTGGTGCCCCAAGCTGCCCGGCCAGGGCCATGCGAGTGGGGTTCTGACCCTGGGGCCGAGTGCCCTCCTCTTCGGATTCACTCCAGAAAGGTTTGAGCTGTGCTCCTGGGCTGGAACACAGTTAGAAAAGGCCCGGCCTTTGTGGGCAGGGCTGAAGGAGTGAACCATGGGGGTGGGGGGCTCACTGGAGCGGATTGGAAGGCCTCTGATTTGCAGCGAGTGCAGGCGGACTGGTGGTTTCCATAACCTGAGTTGTCCCCAAAGGGAGTACACGTGGTTTTGAACGTGAGTCACGGGCACAGGAGTCTAGGCTTCGAAGTGGTCCCTGGCCCGTGGGTGGGTACCATGTGTGGGGTGTAGTCGGGTGCATAGGGGTCAGGCGGGCCACCGTCCCTCAGAGCCTGCATGCAGTGGTCAGCGGCCACACGACACACAGCTCCGAGTTCAGCTGCTGCCAGCACATTCCCTGCTTTGTGTCTCTGTTCATCTTCAAAACTTGGAGGCTAGCAGGGCCCGAGGTAAAGTTTTCTTCTTGCTCCATCGGGCCTTTAAGAAAGACATTGCTGATACAGTTTTCAGATGAAGTTATAAATGTTCACTTTGTAGCCACCTGAAGATTGATAAAGATGCATTTGAAAAGCATTATTTTTTTTATCGATTCTTAATGTAGTAAATTACTGGCGCTATTGGGCAGCACAGAGAGCAGCCACGGCGAGGGCCGCACCTGCCCTCCCGACGCAGCCGCAGCCCTGTGGTAATTGCGCTCGGCTGCACTCACTTATATTAAAAGGCTCCTGCAATAATTAATCCTTTCTATTTCAGATCATTTTGGCACAATTTCCACCTATAAACACTCATAAAACACAGACAGTTGAAAAATCCCTTGCAGGTTTTTTCCATACACCTACGGCCGCCTCTGTGACAGGTGGTTATTGATGTAGCTCGGGAACCAGCTGGTCAGCTGGCTGAGATGAAAAATGCTAAGTGGATTATTTTGCATAAAAAATAGGCAGTTTTTGAAGTTGTATAATTAACCTGTGTTTAGAAAATACCTTGATTTATGCTGACATTTGTGTCTCGGTTGCATACATTATGGAAATTTAATTTATAATGCATTTAGCTGATGCAATCGTGGTTTTTAGTGCTGTCATTTATTAGTGCCTGTACATAAATGCTCCGGAGGGTGAGAGCTGCCTTCCGTAAAAAATTGCACCTCTGCATTTCCACTTTGTGAGTCATGATGAGGTTCTGTTTGAAGTTCAGGGAGCTCGGGCCAGTGTAGCCGGTCTCACTGCATTGCTATCACCAATGCAGACCTGGCGGACAGTGGCCTCAGGCACAGGGCGGCTATCCTGCATGCCGGCCCGTCTGGTCCCTGTGGCTCCACAGTTCCAGCGTCGTTCACCCCAAGGTGGCAGGGCTCCCGTGTGCTGTGGGGCCAGCATCCAGGCCACTGCGACCCCGGGGCCTGCGGCTTCACCTCAGCCCAGCTACCCTCCACAGTGCCAGTAGCCAAGGCGTTACCCCGTCCCTCATGAAGAGGGCCTTTTCTGCCATCTTTTCTAAAGTAATGGAGTCAACATTAGTCTTCAGATCAGAAGTAAAAGCTAGCGGTTTCCGTGTCCCTGAGGCATTGGCTGGTGGGGACATGGCAGAATCCACAGTTGACAGGAGCTCTGGGCTCCGTGGCCACACAGCCTTCTGGAAGCATACGTTGGTGCTTCCTGGGTGTCGCCCTGAGGGCAACGTGACCAGCCCATTGGTGCTGCCTGTGGGCCTGCTGGTGGGGAGATGGCAACTTGGGCCCGGCCCGTGTGTGAGCACCCTTAGGGTGACGGGTGCCCTCTCCAGTGTGTGGCTTCTTCCTGACTACCCCCCACCCCCGGAGCAGTTGCTCGCTCACACCACGGTGGCCGCTGGGGTTGGCGGAGCTCCTTCACTGCTGGGCCTGGGAGGGGCTGGGCCCTCAGGTGCACGGCACCCTTCCCTGGCTGAGGGCCCTCTCGGCATGTGTCGGTGGGGTCCCGGTGCCGTGCCCTGGCCTCAGGAGATGTGTCTGTGTCCCCACACGCCTCCCCCGCGGGCCTCCTCCAGGCCTTTCCAAGGCGGGGCCCTCCCAGCCCTCACCACCTCACCCGCTGTCCTTCCGAGGTCACTCCGTCTTGGCCAGAGGTCACAGGCTGTCCCCCAGACAGGCGATCCATGGCCACCAAGTGCGGGACCAGGCCTGTAGCTGTCACTGACCTGGTGGGGCAGGGCCACATCACTACTCCTCTCACCTGGGAGGTAGGAGTGTCCCCACCAGAAAGGCCCGTGCAGGAACCTGGACCTCAAGGTGGCCGGCAGCAGCCAGGCAGCGGGTGCCAAGTGCGTCTTTGACACTGTGCCCTGTACTGGGCAGGTGCTCGGGACAGGAGCTGCTGTCTTCAGCAGCAGATTTTTGACCAGAAAGCTTGGCGGTGGCCCCAGCCAGTCCTCCACGAGGTGAGGAGAAGGGTGTGTCTGCCTCGTGGGTGCAGGCTGGCTTGTAGTCACAGCCCACAGTCGCAGGCTCCCACCTGGGTTCCTGATGTGCACTGTGTGGGAAAACTCACAGCCCCTGCTCCACACCTGTGCCAGAGGTGGCACAGGGGTCTCACGTGGAATGCCACCTTGCGCCCTGGTCGTCAGGGTGACACAGTCACAGCCCCGTGAGACCCACTGCCCCTGCCGGGACACATGAGACCAGGCACAGCGACAACCTTACGTCCCCAGTGGGGGTGGGCCAGGTGCCACCCTCCCACACAGCAGCTGTCAGGACCCGGTCACTGCATTCTGGAAAGCAGGCCTGCAACCCAGCACTTCTCATCCATAGAGCCTCTCTCAGGGGTCCACCAACAAGATCAGGGAGATGGGCCCCCAGAAAGGTTCGCAGGGACCTTCACAGGGCTTGTGCACTGGAGCCACACTCAGGGAGCAGGAGCAGACGCTGCACAGGTGTAGTGATGAACAGACAGCAGCCTAGGGGAGTCTCAGACAGGGTCTGTAGTGAGAAGTCAGGCATGAAAGAGGGAGTGAGGCCTGTGTAACCGGGGTGCAAGTTCTGTAGCCAGCAGGACGTGCCCATGGCAGTGGCAGAGTGGGGTAAGGGCCTAGGGTGCTGGGCGCGTGCCGATGTTCTGCTCCCTGATTGGAGAACAGTCATGTCACAGCTGCGGTCAGGTGTGGTGGTTCCTCCAGCCGGTCGTGACAGTGCTGTGCTTCCCACCACCTGTAACTTACACTCGGCTGTCCATAAATGCAGCAGTAGTTGTGTTCTGAGGTCCTTCAGCAAAGAGGTAGACAGGAACCTAGGAGGGGAACTGTCATTGGTCTGGTATCAGGGTGTGTGGGTTTTGCTACCAGTCTTGCCACCTACAAACTTACACTGCCTGCACCAGGGCCCAGCTGCCTCATTTCAGAGTGGGTGTGGTCAGTGGGCGTGAGTGCCCCTCCCCCTGTGGCTGACAAGTGAGTGTAGAGAGCCATGCTTCTTCTGTTAGAAGTTAGTGGCGCACAGGGCTGGCCACAGCTACCCTCTCGCATCCTCTGAAGGCACAGTTGGGTGGGGGGTCCGAGCCGGTGGAATTGCGCCCCCCCAAAAAAAAGCTCAAGTCCTCACAACCCACACCTGTGAGTGTGGTCTTATTTGGAAATAAGAGTGTTTAACCTGTAATCATGCTCAGGTGAAGTCATGCTGGGTCACTGAGGGTCCCCAAGTCCAGTGTTGGTGTCACTGTAAGAGGACAGGGGCTCAGACACAGGACAGCCACGGCTGGGAGGGAGTGGTCACAGACCCACTTCACTGGGCATGAGGGAAGGGGCAGGAGAGGTCCATCCCTGAGCCTCAGGGACGAGTGTGGCCTGGAGACACCCCACTGTGGACTCGCGGCCCCCAGAGCTGAGAGACGGCACGTCTGTTGTCCAGGCCCCTCGGTCTGTGGTGCACAGTGACGGCAGCACTGGGGGCCAGAACTGCTGCAGAGCCCTTTGCAGGACAGGAGTGCCAGCCGCTGCTGCGGTGTGGAGGATTTGGCTCTTTTTTTTTGTTTTAAGATTTTATTTATTTTTAGAGTGAGGAGAAGGGAGGGAGAAAGGGGGAGATACATTGTTTACTCTTGAACGTGCCCTGTCTGGGAACTGAACTGGCAACCTGGGCCTGTGCCCTGACTGGATATCAAACCCATGACCTTTTGCTTGGCAGGACCCACTGAGCCACACCGGTCAGGGTAATGGTTTGGCTCTGAAAAATCCCAATTGGGCCCTGGCTGGTATGGGTCAGTGGACTGAGTGCCGGCCTGTGAACAGAAGGGTCGCTGGTTCGATTCCCATTTGGGTACAGGCCTGGGTTGTAGGCCAGTCACCAGTGGGGGACACATGGGCGGCAACCTCCCAGTGATGTTTCTCTCCTTCTCCCTCCCTTCCCCTCTCTCTCTAAAAATAACTAAACAAAATCTTTATAAAATTCCCCATTGGTATTAACCTTCTGTGATTTCAGCCCCTAAAACACCTTGATAATCTGGTACAGGATCTCGGATGCGCCAAATGCGTGCCTGACTGCTGCGGCTGTGGCCTGGCGAGTAGCGGACCCAGCGCCCACCGAGTCCGTGCCCCGGCACCCTGGTCACCGACACAGAGGAAGGCCGCCCCAGGGTCCTGTCACCCTGCAGGGTGCACGCACCCGTCTGTCTTCCGGAAGTCTGGGGACCGCCCAGGAGGCGCTGACCGCCGGCCCTGTCCTCTTGCAGGCTCTCTACGAGAACATGCTGGTGGAGCTGCCCTTCGCTGGCTTCTTCCTATCCAAGCTGCTGGGCACCAGCGCCGACGTGGACATCCACCACCTGGCGTCCTTGGACCCGGAGGTGTACCGGAACCTGCTGTTCCTCAAGAGCTACGAGGGCGACGTGGAGGAGCTGGGGCTGAACTTCACTGCGGTGAACAACGACCTCGGGGAGGCCCAGGTGCGGCCCGGGGCGGGGCATCCACGTGGCCGTGTGCGACTCCCGCTGACGGGGGGCTTCGCCACCACAGGGTCCTGGTGCCTTGTTCTGTCTGGTTGTGAAGGGACCTGCTGTGGGGGGAGGCGTCTCCTCCATTCTGGCGTCACTCGGTAATCTCCTTAGTTCGGTAGTTGGGTAGTTTGGCAGTCTCGGCACCAAGACTGCTGACAGTGGTGGCGTGGCATCCGGTTCCGTCGCTCCTGGCAGGTCCCCCGAGCAACAGGGCTGCAGAGGGCGATGTGGAAGGATAATTAGACCAGCCAGTCTAATGGGGGAAATTAAGAAAGTCACTGGTAAGGTATCTAATTTGGGGGAGATCTTACAGATTTCTGGAGACATAGGCATAACAGCCCAGCCCTCTGTGCAGGTCTTCACATCTAAAACATTCCGTGGGTTCAAGACCTCTAACGTGCAAGTACCTCGTGTCTGCAGGCCTGTTAGTTAATCTTCTCTTCCAGGACTGTGGCTTTCTCTCAAGTCTGATGTCTGCAGTACACCCAGTGTGGCTGTTTGCTGGCCTGCAGTAAACAGAGCGCAAGGCTTTGGCCTCTGCTGGTCGGCGTGCATGCCTCCCTTGAGGGGGCGCTCGGGCTCGAGAAGGGCCGTGCATCACCATCCACCACGCAGACCGGCCTCGGTCTGGAGGCAGGAGACCACGGTGGAGGTCCTGCCCTGCACTCTATGACCTGGGGCCAGCCAGAAGCCCCTGCTGAGGTGTGGGGGGCGGGGCTGTTCCAGCCTGTGCTTCTGGGAGGGGTCTGGCCCGCTGTAGGTGACACTGCTCTGGTCCGTGTGTACAGGTGCGGGGATGCCCCATGGACGCATGTCTGGGGGCCGGTTTGACATGGTTTTAAACCCGAGTGGTGGTTTAGGTGGGTGTATCCTGAGAGGAGTATGAAGGAGCAGGTGTGACCAGGTTCGGGTTAGAGAAATGCCCCTGCTGTCTGGCTGGGGGTCAGGGAGCCCTTTGGCTGCAACTGATTGCCTCTTGGGCCCTTTGTCTCTGAGTCACATGGAACGTGGTCCATTGTTATCAGCCTTTAGTCCACTTAAGGGGCCACCATGTTTCATCTGTGGAAGTGGAACCCAAGCCAGCTGGTGAAGGGTGGCCTGTCAGGGAGTGGGCACAGCCCCTCCCCAGAGTGCAGACAGCAGCTCAGTGCTGAGGACAGGCACCAGTGACAGGGCAATGTCACTAGGTAAGGCCAGACGGCCGTGGCGCTGATAGGCGTGCGGTGACTCAGGGAAGCTCTCCAGGGGGTTTTAGAGCTACTCTCAGTGAAGCGGGGAGATGGGGTGAAGCCGGCACCCCAGGTGGGGTATCTTTGTTTCCTGCAGTCAGATCCTCCCCATGTTTTTACCCCAGAAGGTCAGTGCCTGCTCCACGGGCACAGGACACCCAGTCTGCCGTGCCACTCAGTCCTCGGCCTGCGGCCATCACTCTGAGGCATCTGTACTCTGCTTGGAGGGACCAGCTCTTTCTCCTCCTCGCCATGGACAGCGGCGTTTGAGTGCCTAGAGGAGGCCTTTCTGTTAGGTGTTCGTGAACAAGGAGCTTGAAAGCGCACTCCTGGGAGTCGGGCTCGGGCGTTTGCAGTCGTCCATGGTCGTCAGCCGCCTCACTTGTAGGGGCTTCCATCATCACGTCACCTCCTATTGATGTCGGAGAAGTGGGGTGGATGCCGGTGCTCAGGTCACTGCAGCCTCACTGTCTCCAGAATGCATCGCCCCCCCTGACTTCAGGGGGTCATTTGGATCAGAACTTGGTCCTCGGTGGTTTCTGATGTTGTAAACGAAGGGCCACGGTGACGTCGCTGCAGTCCCTTTTTACTGTGGAGAGAGCAGGGCGGTCCATGCCTGTGAGGAGGGCTGAGCTGCTGGGCCCTGGGAACACGGGCCCGTGGGCCGGGCGCGCCCAGTGTGCCACCCGCTGCTCAGGCTCTCGTTTGCAGACAGCGCTGCCCAGCTTCCGGGAGGCGATCCCTCCTGGCTCTCCCTTATTCTGTGGTGCTGCTCTAAGGGTTTTAAGACCCTTGTTTTAACATCCACAGGTAGTCGAGCTGAAGTCCGGTGGAAAAGACATCCCCGTCACCAGCGCAAACCGCATCGCATACATACACCTGGTGGCTGACTACAGGCTGAACCGGCAGATCCGGCAGCACTGCCTGGCCTTCCGCCAGGGCCTGGCCAACGTGGTCAACCTCGAGTGGCTGCGCATGTTCGACCAGCAGGAGATCCAGGTCTGCGGCCCACCACACCCGGGGGCGCTGTCGAGGCGAGACACAGCTCCCTCACCCCTGCGTCTGGTTCCACAAAATGTTTTTTTTCCAGGTGCTGATTTCTGGGGCACAAGTGCCCATCAGTCTAGAGGACCTGAAATCCTTCACCAACTACTCAGGTATGTAACCGCCTCGTGCCCTTCTTCCTGAACACGTCACCAGTGCCCGTTCTTACGTAGGTGACGCATTTTCAGCCCTGTGTGTTGAAAGACTGTAGTGAGCCTGCAGCCGAAGGGTTGTGGGTTTGATCCCCAGTCTGGGTGAGTCCGGGTGGCAGCCATTCAGGGTGCCTCTCTCGCATCAGTGTTTCTTCCCCCCCCCTCCTCTCTCACTTTCTCTAAGAGCAGTGAAAATGTGTCCTTGAGTGAGGACTGTAAAAATGACAGTTTTAAAAACTGCAGTGAGACCACAGCCACAGTCCTGTTCCTGGTCCCGGCTGCAGTTCCTCCACCGGCGCCCCCTCCCCACAGTGAGTTCCCACCCCTCCAGTGCCTGTGTGTTTACACACAGGCGCAGCCGCGGCACCTCCTGTGGGGTGTTCCTCGGCCTGTGGGCAGTGGGCTGCTTCCAGGCTGGCACTTTTAACAGCAGTGCCAGCCCCCAAAAGCCCACCAAGAAAAGGAAAACTGAAAGGAAAAAAAGCAGCCCGAAAATTGAGCCTTGTTGAGTCTTTATTTATTTTATTAAATTAAACTTAAGTGTGTCTGATTTTCAAGAAAATGACAAACTAAAGCTTCACAAATGGCCAGTAAGTGCATGGAGAGATGCCCAGCAGTGCCAGCCATCGGAGGAGCGACAGGTTAAACCGCAGTCACAGTCAGTGTGCCTTCGGGTGCTTGTGAGTTTTCAAGTGAACCTCATGGTGCGTGTTAGAGCAATGACAGAGAAAGAGAGACAGACCCTGCAGCAGCCACTGGTGCCTCGCTCTGCCGCCCCCACCTGCTGTCCAGCCCCAGTCTCCTCTGGCGTCTCCTGGAGTGTGGCTTCTGTTTGGTGGGCGGCAGGAGCTTAAAACGTTTCCCTGCCGTGGCTGTCCTTGCCATTGATTTTTGAGATGAAGTAGGTGTATGGGGTTTAACTCTCCACTATCATAAACAGCTTCATTTATATTTCTGCCGATGTGTAAAGTTTTTTATTTTTAGAGAGAGGGGAAGGGAGGGAGAGAATCATCAATGTGTGGTTGCCTCTTGCACGCCCCCTACTGGGGACCTGGCCTGCTACCCAGGCATGTGCCCTGACTGGAAATTGAACTGGTGACCCTTTGGTTTTCAGGCCGGCGCTCAATCCACTGAGCCACACCAGCCAGGGCTACCATCTTTTTTTTTTTTTAAACAAGTGAAATCCAGAAGTTAAATTACTTGCTAAGGGATCTGAACACTTTTTGGGTGAAATTAGAATGACTGTGGCTCACAGGAAACAGTACAGACCTTTCAATGTTGGTGAGAATGCATTTACTCTTTCAGTGTCTTGGCTCATCTGTAGAGACCTGTGCAGAGTCTTAAACACGTAAAAATCATTTCTGTTTTGTGCCAGCAGGTCCGTCTTCATTATGTGCATGGACCCTGCAGAGTATTTCATGTGCCGGAAAATTTAGAGTACAGTCTTAACCAGACAAGGTGACTCAGTGGCACGTGTCCTGTGACCCATATCTGAATGTGAAAGTGAACTTGGACAAGATAGAAGCAAAGTTGATAAGTGGCCCTGAGATTACAAGTCAGTTTTGCTTTTTTAAAATTTCGTGTTTCTGTCCTGGCTGGTGTGGCTCAGTAGATTAAGCACAGCCCTGCAAACAGAGGTCACCAGTTCCAATCTCAGTCAAGGCACAGGCCTGAGTTGTGGGCCAGGTCCTCAGGAGGGGGCCACGTAAGAGGCCATCACACGTTGATGTTTCTTCTCTCCCCTTTCTCCCTCCCTTTCCCTCTCTCTAAAAATAAACACGTATTTAAAATTTTTTTGTTTTTTTCTCTATTGTGTGAATGGTATACATAGTGCATAATTTACTCTTTAAAACAGGATACTCAAAATCCATTTAAGTTTTAGAAAATGGTAGTAGTCATTCACAATGAATGAAATAACAGGCAATTTTCTTTCTTCGTTTTTCTTCATTGTACTCTTTTAACACTCTCCTGAGGACATGTTTGTTGATTTTGTGGGGGATAGGGAGGGCAGCGTTGATGTGAGAGAGAGACATCCATCATATGCGCCCTGACTACGGGCAGAACCCACAGGCCAGGCCTATGTCCTGACTGGGAATTGAACTGGCATCCCTCTGGTTCACAGACCAGCTCTCAATCCACTAAGCCACACCAGCCAGGGCAAATGCACATTTCTTTTAATGTTTAAGTCAGAAATGCGTGTCCCATGCAGGACATCTAGCTGTGGCTGAGTGAGGGGAGGGCTTCTCTCCTCAAAAATCAGTATTTGCCTGATGTCAAAGGCAGAAAAAGTACCCCAGAAGAGGAAGTTACAGATTACCATCCCTCATGCCCATGCAGGGTGACACTTGGCAGCACAGCAGGGCAGAGGGGTCTTCCCGAAGTGGACACAGGATGTCCAGAGGTCACAGCTGGCAGCACACTGGCCGGCGGAGGCCCCTGTGCTCGCTGCTGAGGCAAGGTGCTTGCTCCTGTTGTCCAGCACCTCACGGGGCCTGGCAGGTGCAGTGGGTGACGTGGGCAGGGGGCATCCCACTCAGACAAGAAACAGAAAAAGAACTAAAAGTTTGCATAGTTGATGTGACCACAAAGAGAGGAAACACACTAGAACTGATGGACAGTTTCAGCAGATTGCGCGTAGATCAGTGTTCAGGAGCCAGCTGTCTCTACATGTAAGTGAAGAGTGGAGTTCATAAAACAACTTTGTGCAAAACAGCATCAAGAAGAATGAAGTACACGTTCAGTGCAGTGAGTGCAGGACTTGCGTACGGCGTACTGACAACTCAGGTGGGTGGAGTGGCGGTCTGCTTGTCACTGATGGGTTCTCTCCAAATGAAGGTGGAGGTTTAACATAGCCCTTATCCCAAGATCCACAGGCTGACTGGAAATCAGTGGGCTGGTTTTAAATTGTATCTGGAAATATAAAGGACCTAAAGTAGCCACAGCAGTCCCATGGGACAGAGCCGAAGTGGTCAGGCTCTGTCTGGAATGCACCATGAAGCCGAGGTGATCAGGACACGGAGGGGTGGGCACAGGGACAGTTGGTCATTGGCTGGATGTTGTTGGGCGTTCAGAAGCGAAGCCTTCTATTGTGCTCACCGGCTTTTCAACCGGTCACTGCTGCTGGGACAAGATCCAAAGAGAAGAGCGAGGGTGGGCCTTCTTGCACAGGGTCAGAGGCCTGTGGGGCAGCTTCTACTGTGACACGGAGGAGGAAGCCTTCATGGCTTTTGGATGAGGTGGAGTTCGGCCCAAAAGCATGATCCAGAAAAGAGACAGTGGTGGAACATCGGCCTTTGTCCACATTAAAGATCTTGGGTTTCCAAAGATGGCATTGAGGAAATGACAGCACAAGCTTCAGATTGGGAGATAAAGCCTTTAAAGTGATCCCTGCACACACAGGAGGTAACCGGTTGGTTAGGAGAGGGAGGAACGAGCCCCGCTCTGGGGACAAAAAGCAGCTGCTGTGGCGGGCGGTTTTGTGGCTCCTGGAGGTCTGGGCACAGCTGCCTGGTGAGCCTAGCACAGGGAGTAGAGCAGGGACCCGCCCGGGGCATCCGCCAAGGCTCCCACCCACACAACGTTAGGGAGTTGGGCCCACCCAGCCCAAACGCCTGCCTGTGGGCGAGCGTAGTCTGCGCTGCCGGGAGAAGTGAAGCTCAGGCGTGTGTTACGAGGCGGGCCCTGGCACCACCCCGCTGAGGGACATGAGCCTGGTGCATGTGGAAGGACATGGACTGTAGGGCTCAGCCCCTGAGTAACCTGCAGTGGGCCTTCCTCTTGGGTGGGCACTGATGTGGGTTGGAGGGGATCGGTGGCTGGAGGGGGGGCTGCTGGTCAGAAGCAGCAGTGACAGCCCTGCTGGGTGAGCGAGGCCAACACCACTTAGCAGAGGCCTCAGAGGTGGGTCATACATTCCTTTACCGCAGTTTTTAAACAGTGGGAACTGGCCTCCCACCCTCTGTGCTGTGAGGACCTGTTTCCCAGCCTGCACTCCGAGGGGACTCGACTCAGTTTCAGGACCCAGGATAGCAAGGGAGTCTCCCAGCTTGTGAGCAGGGCTCCGTGTGGGCGAGGGGTCTGCTTGGGCCGATGCCCACCCAGTGACCTGCGGGTGGGCATGGGGTTTGCTGAGGGAATGGAGATGTCCCCAAACTGCATCGATGTGGTGCTTGCAAACTCCGTAAATTTGCTAAAATCATTTATTCATATAAATACGAGTGTGTGTGCGTGCGCATGTACCTGCCCTCTCTGTAATTAATTCGTGTTGCTCTAAACTTGAACCCTGGTGTTTATGCAAAGGCAAATAATCTAAGGTCACACTGTCCCCACTATCAAGTCATAAGTGTAGAAAAATGAAATTAATCCAGCCCGTCCTTTGCCAAGAAATTGTCTTGGGTTGTTTGCATTCCTCTGTCTGCACAGAAAGCTCATGCCTTTAATGATCTTAGCTATTCCAGTAAATAGTTTTAAAATATTATCATATTCATTTTGGTGCCAATTAATGCACTTAAGATATTTTATTGATGTTATTTCTGTAGTATGTTAACAATGAGAGAACAATATAAGGCAATTATTTCAGTTTTAGGAAGCACTTAAGCAGATTAAAAGCTGTAAGTAGCAGATGTTACACTTTGGAACAGTGGTCTAATCACCATGCTCTGGGCCTGGCCGGTGGAGGAGGAGACGCTGGGGCGGGCAGGATGAGTAGCTATTCCGGACGGAGTCCCCAGTCTGCCCGCCCTTAGGTGCGGGCCCCTTCTGCAGCTCCCGCTGCTCAGGCACTGCCCCTCAAGTCTCCCTGAGCTCCCAGCACAGCCCCTGAGGCCCAGGTCCTGGTAGCCCCTTGTGCTGTGGGCTGTCTTGTGACTGCAGGTGTTCCCTGTTCTGGCCCCAGCAAAGGCTCTGTCCCCTTGGAGCTTGTGCACCACCCCCAGGGACAATAAGAGGTGCTTGGAGGGGTGGCCAAGCTGTGCGATCCCGGCCTGCTGGAGAGGCGGCTTCTGCGTGTGGCATATGTGATAGAGATGTGCTTTTTTTATCAGGGGGCTACTCTGCTGACCACCCCGTGATCCGGGTCTTCTGGCGCGTCGTGGAGGGGTTCACGGATGAGGAGAAGCGGAAGCTGCTCAAGTTTGTCACCAGCTGCTCCCGGCCCCCGCTCTTGGGGTTTAAGGTATAGCCCCTGTGCGTTTCCTCTGAAAACCCTGGCGGGGAGGCAACAGGACAGCCCGTGGGCTCCAAGGCAGCAGGTTACTGCGTGTCCAGGGAGGTGACGTGAATGTGCCACGGTTCAGTGGCGCCAGGTCATTGATTTGCACCATGTCTGCAGCACTGCAGCCTGGGACTGGTCTGTCCGTTGCCCTCCTGCATTCCTGGCAGTCACCCGTGGCCGTGCTGCCCGAGAGCACGCCCAGTGGGCGGTGCATTCGGGGAGGAGGGTGCATGAGCAGAAGTGCGAGTTTTCCTTCTGGCTCACCAGTGTTCATTGTTACCTGGCTGCACTGCACCGTTGCAAACCTACAGGGAAGTTGCCGGGACTGGGCAGAGAATGCCGTAGCCTGCCCTGGCCACATCGCTCTCCGTCTGTCTCTTTTTGGCGCCCTTCAGGGGTCAGTGTAGGCACCAGCGTTCCTGCTGGCTCCTTAAAACGCAAACACAGTCCATAACTGCAGCTGAATCATGGCAGAGGGGCATGCAGCGAGGCTGGCTCCCACACTGTGGTCCTGGCCCCGCAGCCTCGCGGCCCAGGGAACTGCCAGAAGTCAGGCTCTGCGGGGACAGGTGTGTCTGGGGCAGTGGGCCACAGACACACCTGATGTTCTGGTGCTCGCCGCACAGCCCACATCTCCGCCTGGCTCCTGCTCCTGGCTGCACGCCCCAGAGGCATCTGCACGGGGTGTGAGCAGGTCAGCCTGACTGTCCCCTGCGTGAGGGAGCACAGCTGCTCCCAGGAGTGCTCCGGACTTGGAGGGTAGTGTGGCTGCCCAGGGGGCGCTAGAGCCTTATTCTTCAGGAGGCCACACACTGGGGACTGTCCAACATCCATCCGGGGCACTAGGGATCCCCGTGTCCACCCAGGGGTCCACCCAGCAGTTCAGAGGAACGTGGTGCCTAACACACCACCCTGCGTCACAGAGGCGGTCTGGGCGCTTTTGTTTTACTGTGTTTAAAGCAGCTGAGAAGCAGTTGCTCTCACAGTGCTCAGAGCGCTAAGTGATGATGATGATGATGAAGATAACATGCTTTCCCTGTTTCTCTCTGGACTCCTGTCTGATGATTTTGTGAGAGGCTTGGAGTGGCCTGTGAACTGGAGTAAGATGGCAGACCCAGGGGCCCGGCCCACAGCACCCACCCCTGCACTACTTGGGCATTCACGTGCTGGCGGGAGTAGGGGCGGTGCACTCCTGGGCATCCCTGTCAGAGCAGGGACGTGGCTCCCAGTGTGCTCTCCACCCCCCCCCACTCTGGATACTAGGCCGCTGTGTGTCTCTGTGGGCATGCAGTCACGTGGGTGTGCACCCCTTCGGTGCCGCTGCAGCCTTGCCATGCGCCCCTTGTCTGGAAGCGGGCTAATGGCCGTGCTGGCCGGCCCTGTCTTCCAGGAGCTGTACCCAGCCTTCTGCATCCACCACGGTGGCTCTGACCTGGAGCGGCTGCCCACAGCCAGCACCTGCATGAACCTGCTGAAGCTCCCCGAGTTCCACGACGAGTCCCTGCTGCGCAGCAAGCTGCTGTACGCCATTGAGTGCGCAGCCGGCTTCGAGCTGAGCTGAGCCGGCCCAGATGGGCCCACCACGCCCAGAAGCTGCGCGCCTCCGTCGTGAGTAGCTCCTTCCAGGCCGTCGAGCTCAGGCTGTACCCCCACGCCTCCCCTGCCCCTCTCTGTCACCCCCTCCAGTTTGTAAATGACTTAGGTCATGGTCCCTTACTTAGATGGACGTTGCTTTTCAGATAACTTACAATAACAAACATTAGGTGCCACGCGGCTGATTTAGAAATACTGCCGAGACGAGCACAGTTGTGAGACTTAGTGGCAACTCAGTGGAATTAACCAAAGATGCAGCTTTGGCTTTGCTGGTGGGTTCCAGGCCTTCCTGAGCTGGGGCGCCCTGGGCGCGGCTGCTGGGGCGGGGAGGCTCTGGTCTGCAGGGCACAGGGTCTGGGAGGTGGGGGCTGACTCTCAGGGGCCGCGGCTTCGCGTGTGGCCGAACTGTTTACAAGCCTGACTGTTCAAACTGAAGGCATTTTTCCTGCTGCCTTTTCCCAAAGTGGCGAGGTTTGGAGAAGAGAGGCGTGATGGTGTTTTACTTGTGCTCTTTAAGCCATCGCTCCCAGAGGGGACTAGCATGCTCGTTTGGAGTGTTCTGTTCACCTGCATCCTGGCGGTCCGGAAGGCGCGGGGTGGGGTGGGGGGCGGTGCGGGGTGGGGCGGGGTGGTGCGTGGTGGGTCCTTCGTTCCTTTCCACCTGCCTGCACTCTTTGCCTGGGGAGCTGTCGGGAGGGGTCTCTGTCCAGCCCCCACGGCACAGCACTCGTGCAGCCTTCCGTGAACGGCAACGTGGGAGAAGAGACACTGAGACCGATCTAGTCACTTGAACCAAAGTGGCAGCTGCACCTTCGTCCTGCGGCCTGCCCCCCTCGGCCCTGGGCTAGACGTCCCCTCCTTGGATTTCGGTGACTCGCCACCCTCCCGCCCCTTCCGCCCCCCTCAACGGTGCTGCTTTGAAGGAAGACGGGACAGTCCCTAGACACGCATCCAGGGGAGGAGTGCTGTAATTCCCGTGAGATGGGCACTTTATCAGGACCTGACTTGATGGTGGGCAACCAGGTCTCCGGAAATGGGGCGGGGCCCTTGCCGACGCTGGGCGCGGCTCCTCTCCCCCAGCGGGCGCCGGCTGCCCCCCCTGCGTTGACCAGACTAGCAATACACGTTTAGATGCGGGGACTGAACGACACTTCTAAGACAATGACCATTATTGAAATAAATGTGTAATTTCTTAATCTGAATAATAAATTAAGTGTTAAATGCTATTTGTAGTCTTGATACACAGAAATAAAATAATTAGGGTTTGTCCTTGGTTTTATTTTTATTTGAGGTTGTTTTCTGTTGAATGTTCTGTATCTTCTTTACTTACTAGTTAATTTGTGTATTTTATCATCAGTATTTTGGAAATGCTGTGGACTGAAGAGAAATGGGCAGTTACACTTAATTTGTTTTTTTTTCCCCTTGGCTATTTGGAACTTACTTATTTATCTGTATGTTTTCCTGGGTAAATTTTGCATTAACCTTTTCCCCCAAGGTTGTGTTGGGGTCACGCCCCAATCCCTGTATTTAGTTGGTTCTGCCCTGGGGAAACCGCAGCCGCTAGATGTTAACCAAGGTTAGCGGGTTGGTAAAAGTCCAGTGTGCCCCCCCCCCGCCCTGGCACGCGGAGCGAGGCTCGCCAGGCTGCCCCATGTCCCCTGCCCATATGTTGGGAGGGGTTGAGCTGGGGTGGGGAGCCAGGGCCCTGGGGACTCCCCTCTCCTTGGAGTTGGCGTCACGCTGTTGAGGAAGAGTGTGCCCGTGGGAGCGAGGGTCTTTCTGCGCCGTGTTGTTTGCTGCTTCTGTGCTCTGTTCTTTCTGCTCGTTGCTGGCAGTGTTGTGCTCGGTCCCAAGCGCCGAGTTACAGGGAGGCTGTTCCAGGTGTCTCTTCCAGGCTCCCTTCCACACACAGGTGTAGCTGGGTGTCTGGGGCCCACCTCACCGAGCACTGTCGCCACCACTGGGGCTGGTGCAGTGGCCCTGGCTCACAGGCCGGGCACTGGGCCATGGGCAGGTGGGGGACCAAGATGGCACTGGGGGGGTGACCACTGAGGGACAGCTCGGAGAGCCGGGCGTGTGGGAGAGGCCGAGGACAGTATGTGGTGATGCAGACACTTGGGGCCTGGGATAGGAGCCTCGGGGAAGCCAACCACAGCCCAGAGCTGGTTTCTTAGAGCCAAGACCTGCACCGTGTCCACTCCTCCCACCCTGCAAAATAAACAGTAAATGTAAAACAGTCAGCTCTCTGAACCAGTCTGCTCCAGGCCAGAGAGTGCTGGGGCGATGTGCAGTCTGGGTCTGAAATAGCAGCTGGTGGCTGGCCGTGGACAGAAGGCTCTGGGATCCGTTTCAGAGCAAGGCAGTCTCTGCTCTCCCAGCAGGCGTGCGGCTGGGCTGCAGGACCAGGGGCAAAGTCTGGAGACGGCTGAGGGGCCAAGCAGGCTGTAGGCGTGGCTCTGCATCTCTGCATCCAGAAGGTTTCGAGGGTGGGCTGTGAAGCACAAGTGTTCCCCGTTCTTAGCTCCTCTGTTTGTGAGGTGGGGCCCCAGGTGTGTGGTGTCCCCGTCCTGACAGCCACAGGGTGACTGGCACTGTGTGGTCCATGTGCTGCCCTTCCCCCTGCCCCCCAGCCTCTATCACTGGCAGGGCACTGGGGTGGCTGCTCCTAGGTGACACTCCTCCACAGGAGACGGCAGACCCTTGGGAAGGCTGTCCAGCCTTGCGTAGCCCAGGGCGCAGCTGTCCCTGCACTGACGTTCCCGGAGAGGAGGGGAGGGGATGGGAGGGGAAGTGGAGGTGCAGGGGGAACCTGCTGAGAAATGTGGACTCTCCGTTTACTTCACATTTCCCATTTACGTCCCTGTGAGTTAGACAGGATGAGTGTCGGATTCCTCTGAAAGGTCACAGAGGGGGAGAGGCCCGGCTGTCTGGGTAGGCAACCTCTGCGACCCTGTGGATGCATGGGCTGGTGTGCCCACCCCTGAGTGCTTCCCCTGTTCTCCCAACTGCATTACCACTGTCAGGGCTTGCTCCCCAACCCCATTGCCTGGGCGGCCCAGATCACCCTGGGGCTCAGTGACCCTCTCCAGGTGGGCTCCTGACTTGCTCACAGGTGCTACAGCGAAGGGTCAGCTTGGCAGAAGGGCCCCACCTGGGAACCCTATGCACAGGGTTTTGCTGGGGTTGATGGTCAAGGGGCGCGGTGCCCGGGGCTAAGTTGGCCTGTGCATGCTGCTGCCCCTCCAACTGCTGCTGGCGCAGGGGCCGAGCCCTGGACCTGATTGTCAGCCGGCCCCTGCCTGCCCCAGGATCACAGGTGTGGTCTGGCGGAAGCCTCGGGCCTAAGGGTCATCAGCAGCAGGATGTTCCAGGGTCTGCCAGGCTTTCCAGTGCCCAGGGTTTTGGGTCGAGGCTGCCAAACCCAGGTCAGGCTCCTGGGGGAGGAGGGTTCCTGGCTTGCAGGGGGTGGGGCTCCAACCAGTGGGGCAGGGGAAGGGTGGTGGTACAGCGGCGACCCCCCAGGAGGGGCAGGAGGCCTGCTTGGTGGGAAGACCAGGAAGTAGTTCTCTGCTATGGGAACGCCCTCCCTCCACGAGCGGGGCTGTGGGGAGCTCAAACCAGCCCCCGACCACACAATTGGCATCCGCATCCAGACAGGACTGTTATCTGGGAGACCGACCGCCGAGAAATGGCTCCCACCTTGGTTCCTTTCCCGCCGGCCAGGTGGGGTGGCCACTTCTACCCTCGGTGAAGACGGCACCTGCCAAGAGACGCCCTAGCTAAGCTGGAGTGGGGGGTAGTTCCTGGTGGTCGAGCACAGGGCACGTGCAGGGCCACCCTCGCTGGCCCTGTGGCCAAAAACCGAGTCAAACCCCGCGAAAATGCTGTCGGAGCCGCCTCTGGGTCCTGCCTCGGGCTTGTGGGACCCCCGGGGTCCTGCCTGGAGGGGCAAGTGGGCAGCCGCTGCCGGGGCGGTGGAACCAAGCTGGCCCGCCCCCAGCTCTGCGGCTTCATGGGGACCGGAGGAGGTGGCAACGGTGGGGGCGGTTGGGGACCCTGCAGGGGGCGCTCTACCCGGGAGTTCAAGGGCCCCGAGGGGCATAGGTTGTGGGGGGTGGCCGCACCCTGAGTCCCAGCTGGGAGCCCCAGGGTTTACTAGGATGGAGGGGACTCAGTGACAAAGCTGGGGGGCAGTATGCTGGGCTCCGTTCCCAGAGACGGGTGCTGTCTCCCCGGCTCCTCTGCGGATCGCCAGGGACCTTGCGAGCTGGAGTGGGGTTGGGGGGTCAGGGATCTGCGAGGCCTCCGAACTGTCAGTTCCTGCGGTCCCTGGTGTGGCCAGCAGAGGGCGCTGCGGCTGCACAGCACGTGCGCGTGCACAGACAGATGCTGGCGCATGCACATGGCACACAAGTCTTCAAGGCACACAAGTCTTCAAGGCACACGCAGACCCGCTGCCCCCGCAAGCGGTCGAGCCCTCCGTGGGGTCTGCACTAAGTCCATGTGGTGTCAGACGGGGGTTGGGCAGGAGGCGGGGCGGCAGGGGCGTTCTGTGCAGGCGCCGGACCGCCTACATAGCCGGCTCACGGCCTCAGGTGGAGGCTGGGCGGGGCTCTGTCTTTGGTCCCCAACGAGCCTGGGGGCGCAGAGGAACTCTAGTCCCTAGGAGTGCCCCTCAGGACTGTGTGTGGGGAGGAACAGTATAGGGTGCGAAGGCCAGGTGGCCCAGCCCAGACATCCAAGTGTGGCCTGTAACCTGGGTCCAGCAGGCGAGGTTGGCCAGGCTCCTGGGAGGGAGGGCAGATCTACAGGACCTGAGAGAGTCCTCCCCACAACCTTGAGCCGCGGGCCCTGCTACAGGCAGCCAAGTCGGGTGAGGTCCACGAGGGGGGCAGCGGGGCCACTTGTGTTCAGCACTGGGGACTGGGGTGCAGGGTCCCCCAGCTGCCCAGGGTCCCAGCTGCCCTTCTGCTGCAGCCTTACTGTCCCCATCTAGATCTCTCGCGCACTTCTGCGCTGCCAACCACAGATGAAGTGGGGCCCAGACCACCGGATGGGGCCTTTCCCACTCTGGGGACCAGGACTCTCCGTCGTCGGGGCCCTGTTCCCTCCAGGGGCCCTGGGGAGAACCCAGGCCTTCAGCCCTGCCCAGCACAGCCCGGGGGGCCCCCTCCCCAGCCTGTGCCTCTTTCCCCAAGCCTTTGGCCCCATCAGAATCTTCACCCACCGACTGAGAGAGTCAGTCACAGGCTCCAGCCTGATGCTATCCCCACCACCCGTCAGCTTAACACACCCCTGGAGTTATTCTGCTATTACCACACTCTCATGGTGGCCTTGATTTTCAAACCATTTTTTCAGCCCTCTGGGCCTCAGTTTCCCTGGTTATCAAAGGAGTCTTTGCTCCTACCTGTGGGTCAATGGTGCTTCGCAAACCAATACTCTGGGAGGGGCCTGAGCACAGGGCCACCTGGGTGGGCCACCAGACTCCTGCTAGGGCTGGACACCAGGTGAGCAGTGAGCAAGCACCAAGTAAACACACGACATCTGGGAAATCCTTCCACTACGAGGTGGTTTGGTGCTCCTCACAGATTCCTGCTTCCCCAGGCGTCCTTGTTGGACTGGGACGCCTGACTTCCGGCTACTTCTGCCAGTGGGGCTTCCGTAGCCCCAAGAAGGCAGGTGATGTACTACCTGAAATTAAGTCGGGAATGGATCCCGGGCGCCGCTGGGACCTCTGGGCCATTTTGCCCCGTGGGTCACTGACTCTGGGTCCTCCGGGTACCCCCACACAGCATGCCCTGCTCCAGGGTGCGTGCATCTGAACCACACACGTCTCAGCTTTCTCGTCCACTCAGGATGAGTTCATGAGGGCGGCTGGCCAGGCTCCAGGCACTGGGCTCCTGCACTGAGCCAAACAGACTCGGGAGGGGGGCTGGGGGGGGCACGAGCCCAGGGAGGGAACAGAAAGGGCAGCCTTCTATCCTCTCCAGGGTCCCAAGGCACCCAGTGAAGTTTGAGCTGGAATCTGAGACCTGCGTGGCAGCGGGTGTTGCCCAGGGGGGCAGAAGTCCTGAGCTGTGAAGGGCAGCAGAGTTGGGGTGGGGAACAGGTGGCTGAAAGTGCTGGGGAGCCACCAAGGGGGGTGTTGGCAGCCCCGAGCTGGTTCCTGCAGTAGAGAAGAGGGTGGGGAAGGCAAGAGCCGAGGACCCAGGGTGATGGCCCGCTGTTAGAGGGTATCCAGGTTGGCGCTGCCTCTTGAGCAGGCTGAGACACAGAGCTGAGTCC